GAATGATGACTTATGGTAATCTTTCTTCTCTCCCCCGCCTTTAGCCGAGTTACTCTTAAAGCTTTTAGAAGATTTTGATGAATCCGTGCTCCTTTGGAACTCGGTTAAAGATTCGGCCACCACAATAGCCTCGTCTACTGTCTTCACTCTCCGACGTTGAAGTTCTTGCTTCGCCCAATTTTGCAATCCGTCGGTAAAGTGAAACAATAGATCTTCATCTGACATGCTCGGGATTTGAAGCACAAGGGTAGTAAACTCTTTGACATAATCGCGAATAGTGCCCTTATGTTTCAACTCCCTAAGCTTTTTCCGGGCCTCATATACTACATTTTCAGGATAAAATTGGCGTTTCAATTCTTTCTTGAAATCGTCCCAACTATCTATCCTACAAGCACCCTTTTCTATGTCGGCGTGCTTACGTCGCCACCATAGAGCCGCGGTGTCCGTAAGATACATAGTCGAAGTACGTACCTTAGTAGCTTCATCCAAAATGTTCACGCCCTCAAAATATATTTCCAATCGCCATAGGAAATCATCTAGCTCTTTTGCATCTCGCTTTCCATCGAACTCCCTAGGCTTTGGATAGTCAATCCTTGGAGCCGCTAGAATCGTGCTAGTACCCGCACTTGTTGACGCCTTCTTACAAGCGTCTAGGCCACTTTGCATATCCGCACAAAGCTTGTTCACTTGGTCTTGGATCGCTTTGACAGCATCCATGACCTTAACCTCCAACCTCGTATATTCTTCCCTTAAAGCGCCTTGGTCCTCCTTGAGATCATCAAGTTGTTCCAAGGTGTGAGCTTCAAGGGTTGAGAGTGAATTCTCCACTACTTCAATGCGTTCCCCCATATTGAGAAATACCTCCTCAAGAGATCCACCGGTAGGGGCTGGTGGTCGGCTCTTGCTTCGAGTTTGTTGAGTTTTCTTACTCGTGATTTAGGGTTCGACCTCTCGACCCCGCTCTTTTCTTACTCGTGGTTTGGGGTTCGACCTCTCGACCCCGCTCATCATGTTCTACTTCTGAAATGCCGGATCCCACAACATCTTTTTCCGCCATGCCAACGATAGTAAGTGAGCAAACCTTGGCTCTGATACCAACTATCACGGACTTGCTAATTTCCTTCAAGAACCGTGCGGCCTTAGTGTCTTCAACTTCTGCCCCCGCGGTTATTACACTAAGTCAGCCTCCCGATTGGCGTTGATGTTTTAGAAAGGCACTAAGTAGAACACTTTTAAGAAAGGGACAATGAAGGAACACAAGGACTTACAAAGAATGCTTTGTATTGAATAAGGAATACTCTTTACAACTTCACTCTCTTGATCCTTCAAATGAATCCTACCAAGCTATTTATAGTGGTAGCCTCCTCAAATGGATGGCTAGGATCTTTTCTATCCAACGGTCTAAATTACACCTCTAGAATTATCTATACAAATATCTACATTAAAATATCTATGGACTAAACTAGGATGATCTAGATTAATCCACCAAGTGAGGGGCTTGTAGTTTCTAGAATGTCCCACCATATTCTAGCAATCTTCATGCACTTGTGGGAGTCTAGAATATTTCGGTTAGCCCCAAGTCGTCAACATTTTAAGTTTCTCGATCTTCTTGTGCCAAGATCGAGCGAGTCGTGACATAGAGGAATAGATCAATTATGTCGCTCTCTAGAAGTAGCATCCAATTTCTTTAGTACAAGAGCAAAAGTGTGAAAAATGTCATTTCCCAAGTAGGAAACAATATACAAATACGTGACCAACACAATACAAGAAAATAGCACAAAAAGGTATTAGGCCATGTTTGATTGGCCTTGAATTACATGGAATTTTTCATTCTCAACTTTTTTGGTATTTAATAGGACATTTTTTCCATAGAATTTGATTTCGTTGTTTGTCTTGGAAATTATGATTTTCTTGGTTTTCCTTGAAAAACAATTCCCACCAATACGGCGGGAATATTTCCAACCCACTGTTCACGTTTTTTATTTTTATTTTTTTGATAATGGAAACAAATTCTATGAATTATTATAAAAAAATATTTCACTTTAATTGAAAATTTTCATGTAAAACAAAATCAAACGAATACCAAAAGATAAATGATTTTCTCAATTTTTTTGTTGGCAATGGAAACAAATTTCATCCCCAATACCAGTAAATTCTATTCCTTTAATTGATAATTTTTCATATAAAATAAAGTCAAACAAACACTAAAAAATACTTTTATTTTAACATTTTTCACGTGAAAAATTATACCAATCAAACACAATAATTTACAATTCTCAGAAAAATAATTTCTAGGCAATTCAATTCTCTGGAATTCGTTTTCTATTCAATTCAATTACATCTTTTCAATCAAACGGACTCTTAATTTTACAAGTTGTTGAGCACGGAGGCATCTGATTACGAGTTTGATTTTTTCTACCAACACTTTCTCGATAAAGCCTATCGCACAGAGCTTGCCTAATGCGATTTACCTGCCTAATGTGATTTGCAGGCTATTGCATCAGCTCGAGAGTTTACCCAGTGCGCACCCTGATGATAGCGGTTCCGAGTTCCCCGTCATCAAAAAATAAAAAATAAAAAATAAAATGAAAGTTGCTTGGTTTATATTGTAATGAATCTTTCATGTAATTTTTATGAACACCGTATAAAGGAAATGTTAGAATGGAGATCATTAAAAAAAATTTAAACTAAAGGTTAAAATATGTTTTTTAACTTTAATCTGATACGATTAAGTCGCAAATCTACAATGCTATGTCTACCAATTAATCAATTTCTATCTTCTTCTTTTTGGAGGGAGCCAGAAGTGATGTTGTAGTAAATTAAATTAAATCTGATTAGTCCAATTGAGATAAATTAAATTTTAGTGATTCTATTGAAATTTTTCTGAAAATTCAATGGCTAAAAATGAATTTATATTCCATTTTTTTGGAAGAAAATACAACTGTCCATAAATATTTTGTCAAGGAGTTAGCAGATTTATGAATTTTATAAGAGTTTAGAAAATACGCTATTGATTTTGTTAAAAATAAAATTTTTAGTGAGTTTTGATAAAAGTCGATGAAACGTATAATTGAAATAGATAAAAATAGTGAGTCCATGGAATATATAATTAAAATTAATTGTTTAATTTAGTTTAAATTTTTATCAACTTGTAGATCTTAATGTCGATAATTTCGTAGAGTTAACAAATTAATAATAAAAAATAATAAGACAACGTGCTAATGAATTTTTATATCACATCATGTTTTTAATAGAACAAAATAGAGGGTCTAAAATGATATGAAAAACGGTAGTTATTAAAATTAAGAATATAGATGATAAAAATAAGTGACCTTATAAATTGGTGACTAAAAATATTTTTACCCCGGAAAAATTTTATATTTTAGTTTTACAGTTATTTTCCTTTTTGTTATGATAAAAGTCCATTTAATTCCCTTCTTTATTGGTGGATTCTTTGAGATCATAAAGTACGACTAGCTATTTTCCGTCTAATAGACAGCTCTAGGAATTGTAGACATGGCCCGTTTAGCCTTCAAGAGGGAAAATTTGTCACATGGTTTTCGATAACTCTTCTTGATTTATCATGCAATAAAAGAAAAATGGGTTAAGCATTACCACACGATAATAGCCGAAGACAAAAAAGTGAGAGATAGAGGAGGGGAGATTGAGGATGGTGACTCCACTCCATAAATAGTGCATATAGAATTATACTTTCATAGATTAGTGCATGTTTAATCGATAAATATACTTTATATATTTATATATTTCGTGATATTCAGTCTATTTATCATGTACGTATGTTGTACTACACAAAACTTATATCAAATACATTATAACTTAATCACTAACTAAACATTATATAAACGGATTCAATTTCGTCCCGTTGGCAAACTCATTTGACTCCCATTAAAACTCTTCAATTTAATTTAAATTTTTCTCTCTTCTATTTTTAATCACACAATTTTCAATAAAATAATATTACACGCAAAGCAAACACTTTTAATTCTTTTACAACCATTCATTTAAAAAAAAAAACACTATTTCTCCCACTACAGCTCGTTTGATTTCCATTCTTTAGCCACAAAAATGAAAATTATAATCGTTATTTATCATATCAAGTCATAATATTTGACTTTTTATCTCTTGAGTGGATTTCGTAACGATATTTTTCATTCTCATCCTAAAAAAAATGAAAATCAAATAGGACCTATAAATCCAAATATTGTGGGCCAAACGGGGCTAGTCTATCCACCTCTAGGGTTTAGAGATTGCATTTTACAGCCTGTTTGGGAGTGATTTTTTTGCCCAAAAAATTAATTTTTTAACCGTTATTTCATTATTCTAACCGTCATATTTGATCTCTCATGGATGGATCCCAAATTTTTCCTAATGATCAAAAAATCATTTCTCAAAACCACTGCCAATCATACTCTCGGTTACATCCAAATGTTTAAAACGCAGCCCTTCTTAATTCAACCACATATTTCTTGCCAAACCCTGCATGCTAGTGCCATCCATCACTTGTACTCGAGAATTAAATAAAATTCCTGAATTTCAAACTTAGCCACCTCTACTTCTAAATATCAATTGAAAAAAGAGTAACCAAATCAAGAACGCCCAAAAAAATTCTGGGTATTTCTTCAATCTTGGAAGTCTCTAGCAGTAATGGCTCGGAAGCAGAGTGAGTACGAACCAAACCATTGGTTCTGTGTGATCCTCCTCTTGATGTGTTTAGTTTCTTGTTCTGTGGTCTACATGTTCATGTCAGCAATTTTCAGATCAACTAGTGCGAAAAATGATTCTAATTCCTCCGAAAATGTGGGAAAGTTGGAAGTTGGCGAAAGTGTTGTTACTAATGGTGGTGGGTGTTGTACAGGGATTGAGAATTTGGAGCTGTGGGGTGATGCTGTTAAATGGGGTTCAGATTTCAAGTTCAATTCTTCTGAAGAATGTTGTAAAGCTTGTAAATCAATGTGTACGGGGATTGATGGACCTTGCCTTTGTGATACCTGGGTTTTTTGTGGGAATAAGCATGCTTGTTGGGAGAAATTTGGTGAGGTCAGTTAGTTTTTCTTGCCTATTTCCTTATCAGAACTCGTAATGTGTTCCTTTTAGGGCCGTCTAGTCTACCTTAATAAACATGCCAATACTGTCGTTGCAATTGAAGTACTATGAATATATATAACATGTAATACCTTGCCAAAGTACTAATAAACAGAGTTTATAAACTAAACATTTTAGCATTTCAGTAAATAAGTTTGTGATTCCCTCAAATTAAGCAGTAGAAGCGCTAATTAATCATTGTGGTTTGTTATCATGTATCATTGTTCGTAAGATATGATTTAAATGTTTATTCTTTCGAAATTGTTGTTCTAGTGTTGGCTGAAGAAACAGAAGGATACCTTGGCCCCTGTTAGTCATGAAGCAGGAAGCAAATTTATGTGGACTACTGGCCTAATCTTTGGACGAGGAGAGGTATATAACATTACTAAGCCCCTGATTGGTGGCCTTCTTCCTTTTTTTTTTTTTTTTTTTGAAAAAAATAATGAATTTTTGGAGAATGTGTGGTTAAAAAGTAGGGAAAAGTTTTGGGTTTACATGCAGAATATTTTGTTGTATAAACGTGTGGTTGAAAAATGAGTATGTAGACAAAAGAGTACTGAAAGAATGAGAGACAGACACGGGCTAATATTGTCTTGATAAGTTTTGGTTCAATAACTATATGGAACCTGGGATATCATATTGTAAATTTTGTTTCATTTCCTTTTTCTCCTTGAAGGGCATTGTTGGCTTACAGACAGAATATGGTACTCTTCACATCAAGGTACATACTCCTATCCTTGGTGAGTGGACAACTGTGTTGCTTTTATGGTCAAAAGATAAGAAAGATGTATATGGGCCGCTAAACAGTTATACATAATTGTTGATATGCATCAAGAGCATCTCAAAAGGAAAGAAATGTTATAATGGCTGCCATAGCAATCTTTATTAATCATTTAAAAATCATCTATTTGCACGTATGACATCTGGAGTGCTACAATCATTTCTAAGAAGGCTTTATTGTCACATTTGTGCTTAACCATGTGAAGAACAAATAATATGCACTTCCAGATATGCAGCATTCTCCAATAGTTTGTTCCATACAAAAATTTGCCAAGCTGTCAAATGTGAGAGGAGTTATCCTTTAAACTTATCCTCTTAAAAGAAAAAATGCATTTCCTTACAATTTTTTTTGAGAGATCTTTCCAGAAATATTCTTGAGATGGCGTAAAGTTCCAATAGTGAAGCAACTCTAAATGCTATATTTAGTCATTGTAAGTTCTAGGCATTCCATATAAAAAATAAAATAAAATTGATTTAATAGGAAGAATATTTTCTATTTCTACAGGAAGAGAAGTACAAAACAAGGTCAACGCTTCTGACAATTGTTTTGACAAGTATCAAAAGTTTGACCTAGCTTTACGTCAACTCAAGGAATTAATGGATCTATGCTCAAAAAACTTCTGAAATTTTGTTGAAGTTGTGGGCGAAAATATAAAAACACATGTTCATTTGCACATTAGTTGAATTGTTTGAGAAAGAGAATTATTTCTTGAAAGTCTTCAACTTGCATTTTCGAAATTTACTTTTTGTATAGAACATCTTAAATGTTTAACAAGTGCACATTTCAAGTCATTACCTGTAAACATAGATTTATAAGGATGCTTCCAAACATGATTCCTAGCTTTTAAAAAAATATACCCCTACTTACTTTTCAAGAATCTAAGGTTGTGGAGTTAGGACATTTGTAAAAGTCTTTCGGATAAATAATCACCCCTGCTGATGACTAAAACAAACTAAACTTTGTTTTTTGATAAATTTGAGTTTCGCTACATGAATCCTTCTCCACTATTCTGTTCATTCTTGAGCAACCATTTCAGGTCATGTTAATTTCTTTCCCCCTTTCTATACTAACTTGTTCTACCAGGATTGTATCTTTTTAGTGAATGAGAGCTTCTCAGCTCATCCCAGTAAATAATCAATAACCCAAAATCTACTGACACTGCTCCCAATGTGAAGAACTTTCTAGAACTTATATGGACGTTGCTTCCATAATTCCTAAGGAGAGAGGGAAACATAGTTAAAGAAGAAGAAAAGACTAGAAGGTTAATGTAATGAAGAAGAAAATAGAAGAAAGGAATGGAGAGAGATGAAAAAGAGGCACAAGCACCCTTTGGATGTCATAATAATTGCTGCCACATGTACCCTTTTCTCTTCCTTTTTTTCTTTTCTTTTCTCCTTTACTTCACTGAGAAAATTGTTGCAAGTTTTTTGCAGCTTTTGCCTGAATGTTCTCCACAATCAGTAGCATACATATTAGAGTTATTAGCATTGCGGCACTGTGCAGGCTGCCATTTCTTTCGTGCAGAAAGTAGGGGTCAGTCCTGGGATACAAAAGGAAACCATGTAAAAGATGTAAGACTTGAACTTTGTTTCTTGGTTTCCTGCTTTTTCCTATCACTGCATTTTTACATCATGTATTGGTCTCGACTAGTATTAATGCTGCTATTTGCAAATCCCAGCATACCCCTGAAATTGAAAGTCTATTATGTTTCATTCACAGACATCGGTTGGATTCATATCTCTAGCTCATGATGTTTCATTTGTCAGCATCATATGGTGCCTTATCATCTAACAACAAATGCATGCATACACATACGACTGCACTAATACACATAGGAATCCCTGATTTACAGAATCATTTTGCTTGCTTGTTCATTTATCTTGGTTATTCTACCAAGTTTTGTATACCTTATTTCTTTTTCCTATTTCTTGATGCTCACTGCCGACCATTTTCAAAGCCTAACACTGAACCCTTTCCATAATGTCACTTTCTTACTTATTAAAATCAGATGATTATTTCATTTCACTGAATAAGCAACCAGGTAATAATCAATGTCTAGTGAACACCACAAACTTTATGTAAATGGAGCATTAATTCTATAGTTGTTGCGGAGGAAAATGTTATGTAAATGCTAAATGTTGTGCAAATTTTATGAATGACCTTTAATCTTGTTTTCTGCAAGTGTTGCCTATTTCACCATCCTCTTGCCAATTATCTTTTGGTCAAAAAATCGACTAATATATTGGGATACGGGTGTTAGCATACTGTTTCTACTGGTTCATTGTTTATTCCCTTTTACTTTCGTCCTATATTTTTATCTGAAAATGAATCTTGCTAGATTTCTGACTCATTACTGCTTCTAACATCAGGCTTCATTTGGCCCTCCATTTGCTCTTATCCAAGGAACTCTTGGAGTCGAAGGAATGACATTTAACAAATTGCCCTCCGAGTACTGTCCAACCATGAGAAAGGGTTCGGTAGCATGGGTTGGCTCGGGTCCTGAATTCTTTATAAGCCTAGCTAATCATCAAGAATGGAGAAACCTACACACCGTATTTGGTTCAGTACTTCCAGAAGGCATGGTTATTGCAGACAAAATTGCTCAACTTCCCACAAAATCGGATGTTTGGAAGAGCATTAACGTGTCAGTTTTAGAAAAGAAAGTACCCTTCCGGTTTCAAAGATTTCAGATTAGTCATGATGAGCTAAATTTTGGTGCTTATTAAAAGAAATCAAAGCGCTCTTGCTGCTGCTACTTGTAAGATGCCATAGGGTTTTTCGGTGCAGGTTTCACTCTTTTTACCCTTGTAACCAAGTTGGAACTTTGAAAGTTTTTCCAAGGTCTCGAGCGAGGATAATGCTGGATTTACTGTTTTTACTTGCAGATGCTGAAACAATATGCATAACAGCAGAACGAGTTTTAGTGAAGTGTTGCATTGCTTCTCTTTATCTTTGACATGAATCCTGAGAAGTGCTTAACTCAAAAAAACTCTAAAAGTTCATAAATTGTAAATACCAAATAGTCGAATATTTTTTGAATATTTTTATTTATTAAGCAGGTATTCGCTATCTCGTGTTTTAACAAGACACATAGAAAAGGCTAAAATGTATATTTTTTGCGAAGGAAAAAATCCAAGCTACCCCTTCAAACTGCTTTACTGAATTGGATACAGTAAGTACCAGGAAACTTGCGCATAAAAAATAGATTAATGTTCAGTGATTCAGAACAAAGTTCTGTTTAAAGGGATCTAATTTGAGACATAATTCTGGTAACACAAGTAAAATAGCATTTTTATTTCTTGTGAAATGATCAGCCTAATTTAAGCGAGCTTATAAGCACAAATATGGTTAACTAGAAGTAATTGTCTTTTCTTTGAACAAACCCACACTGGCTCTATATTGTTGATACCATTTGACACCTAATGCATGGAGTGGGTTGGTTTGAAAATGCAAAAGACGTGCTTCTTCTGGCGTTATATCAGCTGGCCTCTTTCGACCCAGAAATCACGTCCTTTAATTTTTCAATTTTATTATTCTTCCATGAAACCTGAGCTCGTATTCACTCTGCTTTTTTCTTTCATCTCAACATGGAAGCTCGTCTCCTTAGAAGCAAAGGTCTTTGTGGTTTTGATGGAGGATGACCCTGTTGTCATGATGTCACTAAGGTCATATGTACTTCGTTATGATTTTCTTTTCTTTTATACTAAGAATTTTTTTACTTTAATTGCTGACTAATTCACTGCTTTGGTCAGGAATGATGAAAATATTGCATTTTACAAGGAGAGAATGACGAGAGAGCACGATATTTTCCTAGAATCGCTTCTAGAGAAAGGATCATACATCAAGCTGTATAGCTACACTCACTTGTTGAATGGCTTTGCGATATACTCTAAGGACAAGAAGGTAAAATTTTATCGAGTTTCTGTTTCAGACAGATAAACATTAACCGTTTGGTTTTCAGCAGGTGCTCGACATGCTGGAGACCGCGGAAAAAGTTAGATTGGTCCACGAAGATACAAAATTGCAGAAACTTACTACACATACGCCGGAACTGTTAGGAATTACTACTGGTGTTTGGCCGTCATTAGGTGGATCTATGCTTGCAGGCGAAGGAGTGGTTATCGGCCTAATAGACACGGGAATCAATCCTTTCCATCCAAGCTTTACAAATGAAGGTTTAAATGGCCCTGCTTGTTTATTTACCAAAACTAAGTTTAAGGGGAAATGTTCGACTGGTGAGCAATTCCCACCATCAGCCTGCAGCTGCAAAATAGTTGGAGCACAGTATTTCGCAAGAGCTGCAATCGCTGCAGGAGAATTTAATTCAACTCGTGACTTTGCTTCTCCCTTCGATGCTGATGGTCATGGAAGGCAAGTATCATGTAATCAGAAAATTCTCGTAAAATATATGTATTATTTTGGAGTGTTAATTCAGTGAAGTTGGGGTAATTTAACAGCCATACAGCCTCGACAGCAGCTGGAAACCATGGTATCCCTGTGATAGCTAATAACTTCAACTATGGATTTGCAAGCGGCATGGCACCAGGAGCACAGTAATAAACTGATTGATTTCTTATCTTTCCTAAATTAGCGAACTCTTTATGGATACATTATACAAACATTTTTTCAGATCTTCAAGTTTGATCACAATCAGAAAACTGCTAACTCCATGAATCATTATAGACTATCTTGGCATTGCAGGATTGCTGTGTATAAAGCTCTTTATCCTTTCGGTGGTTACATGTCTGACGTTGTGGCTGCAGTTGATCAGGTCTTGACTTTATTCTGTTGTACAAAATTAGATCTGTAGTTTCTTAGTGAGAAGAGAGTGAATTAACTTATCTGAAGTTTTTGTTTATGTGAAGGCAGTAGAAGATGGGGTTGACGTATTAAGTCTTTCTATAGGACCAGCACGTGTGCCTTCTGGCCCTTCTGCATTCTTAAACGTGCTGGAACTGGAACTTTTGTTCGCTACAAAAGCAGGTGTTCTGGTTGTTCAAGCTGCTGGAAATGGAGGGCCTTCTTCTAGTTCAATACTTTCTTTTAGTCCATGGATCACCAGCGTTGCAGCCTCCATAACTGATCGGAGATACAATAATTCAATCATATTGGGAGATGGGCAAAGATTAATTGGAACAGGACTTGCACGTAAGTTTACTTACCAGTTCTAATTCAGAAATTGCCTATTATACGATCTGAAAATACCGATTCTGCCATATATTGAAGCTCCAACGGTTGGAGGAGTTTTTTTCCCGGTGGCTGCCGCTGCTGATGTTTGTCAAAGGAACATTACAGCAGGTCTCGTAGAGAGCTGCCAGGATTCAGATCCATTCATCCTGACCTTAGTTCGTGGAAGGCTAATCATCTGCACGTATACCTTTGACTTTGAATCTGAGGCAGCAACTATTGCTACAGTTGCAGACACCATAAGTAAAATTGGGGCAGCTGGTTTTATACTAACCATGGATCCCGACATTGGTTCTGAGAAGATTAAGGGTGCCACTGTACCCTTACAAGTCCCTGGAGTCATTCTAAACAATATGGAATCCTCTTCGGTATCTCTCTCTTGACATATAAAACTAGTTTTAGTAAATTATTTTCTTCAAAGTTGTCAAGATAAATTTTGTTTTTGTACAGGCTCTGTGGGAGTATTACAATTCAAATACGGTAAGGAGCAGAAGTGGAATTGCTATAAGTTTTCGAGCAACAGCAAGGATTTTAGATGGCAGGGAGGCCACTTATACCGGGCAGGCTCCAGTCGTGGCATCATACTCATCAAGAGGTCCCGATGTTAACAATGCGCTTTTAGAAACTGCTGATGTCCTCAAACCTACCATCATGGCTCCAGGCTCCTCGATATGGGCTGCCTGGAGTCCTAATAGTGAAGGAGATCAATACATCAAAGGTAGGTGAAAATATTTCAACTCAGATAATTTCCAAGACATAGTTATCATCTCATACAAAATGATCCATCGAATGTCCTGTATAGAGAACATAACATATCAACTATCACGAGCATTATTTGGCAAGAAGTTTGATTTTATTTGCTAACTACAAAGTACCAGACCTGAGCCCCGATGAGGTGAAAGATCGAAAATGACATTTAGCATTACAGCAGCTTTTAAGTTTAGAGAAATGCTCTAGAGTTTTTTCTTTCTTTCTTTCTTTCCTTCATTTTTTTTTTTTTTTTTTTTTTTTTAAAATTTTTTTTTTTTTTTTGTTAATGAAATAGTATAGCTGTAATCTGATTCACTTTCTATAATCTTAATAAATTGGAGTTTTGAATTTTGGTTTTTATTAAATATCTTCTTCTTCCAGGGCAAAGTTTCGCCTTATTGTCTGGAACTAGCATGGCTACACCGCACATAGCTGGTATTGCTGCATTGATAAAGCAAAAACACCCCGACTGGAGTCCGGCAGCCATTACTTCAGCAATGATGACAACGGCCAATATCACAGCTACTTCCGGCGCTCCAATTCTAGCCCAACAGAAAAACAAGTTATCTCCTGCCACTCCATTTGACTTTGGAGCAGGTTTCATCAATCCTTCTAAAGCAATTGATCCAGGACTCATATTCGACATTTACTTCAAACACTACGTACAATTCTTATGCACAGTTCCTGGGGTTGACGATATGTCAGTGAGACGAGCAGTGGGAGTCGGGTGCCCATCTAAGAAAACAGAATGGTGTTCGGATTTGAACACAGCAAGCGTGACAGTTTCGAATTTGGTGGGATCAAGGAAAGTGACTAGAAGGGTGACTAATGTAGGTGAGTTAGTTGAGAAGTACACAGTGCTTGTGAGAGAGCCTTTTGGAGTGAACATAACTGTGACACCTCAATCTTTTAAGATCAGCGTCAATGCTTCGAGGCACATTACACTTTTCTTGGTTGCAACTCAGATGACTAATGCTTACACATTCGGCGAGATGATGCTAGAGGGAAACAACAATCATGTAGTTAGAGTTCCTATATCCGTCTATGTAAGCAGCACATTAGGGTTTTGATGTCGTTTCTGGGAAGGTCAAGTTCTTAATTCTGTGCTATTAGTCTTCTGTAATGTATTTGAGTTGCAGGCATATGAATTATCTCAACAATAGGTATCATAATCTTGTTCAAGCTATCTGTTCTTGTACAAGTTAGATTTAGGAGAAAGCTGCATACACAATGAGTTCTTGAATAACTTGATGGTTTTGTATCATCTGAATGTCTTTTCTAGCAACGATCTCTTAGTTTTGCAAACAATTTTGAGAAAAAATTCTTCTTTTTCTACATCTGAAAAGGAAAATTACTCGTATGTATTATGAAATTAGACGATGTCGCTTATAATAGTGGACACTTTGAGGGGATCTGCAAGTTACCTGGAGGCATTTCACCACAGTTGTAATTGTTTGTATTAACAGTCTCAATAATCTAAAGAAAATACAGAAATATAAAAGAACACGAAGGTTTTTTTTCGCCCGAAGGTGTTCACCCAAAAGGGCTACGTCACCACGTTGAACTTCCACCAAAGTGGTTAATGCTCTAATCCACTAGAAACCAGCAATAGAGTATCAATACAAGGTTTACAAACTACAGATCTAAAAAGATCAGCCCTCAAACCCTATTTTTCCCTCACAAATTGAACAAACATATTACACCAAGTAATCGACACTCACTGTTCAACCAAGAACAGATACAATCTCAAAACCAAGTACATGAATCAGATCTCACCAAGAACATCTAATGATTCAGAGATTAAACCCAAAAACCAGAGGCTTTTCGAGAGAAAATTACAGAGAGCAAAATGAAAAACTAAAACCTAGAAGCCTCTCGAAAAAATGAATGGTAAGTGAAAAGTCTAGGGCCAAGTATAGTGGAACGTCATTTGCATCCAACGGTTCAACCGACTTCACCTGGCACCATTTCGTCCATCCAATTAAAACAAACTGGAATCGCATTTGGAAGAAACACGACTTTGCACAAGTGGGGGCAAAAACCGGGTTACAAAACCTGGGCTCAAGTGTTGGGTTCCATCTTTGGGCCTCCAAGGTGTTAAGCATTTTATTTAACAATCTTCACCTTGCTTGACATCTTTGGGTTTCATTGTGGACTAGAGGTTAACTCCTCCTTCGATATCATGTGCTCTATATACCTGCAAAAGAGATTTCAGTTAGGAATAACATTTAGGAGATTTAAACAATTCCTAAATTTATGTACAGGAAGTATTTTGGTACCCATATCTGCTCGATTACACTTAGTGGAAATCTTTTCAATTTTTATGATGTTCTTTTCTAAATGTCTCTTATAAAATGGAATTTGACATCTATGTGTTTTGTTCTATCATGAAAAACAGGATTTCTACTAAGATGTATAGCAGATTGGCTATCAGAATGTATTAAAGCATCATTACCAGTAAAGCCAATTTCATCCAACATATTTTTCAATCAAATACCTTCCTTTACTGCATTTGTTGCTACAATATATTCAGCCTCTGTAAAAGACAGAGCTACTATCTTTTGCAACTGTAATTTCTAGCTTATGCAAGTATCATTTAAAGTAAAGATATATGCAGATGTTGATTTTCTATTATCACAATTACTAGCAAAATCAGAATTTACAAATCCTTTTAATTTAATCCCAGTTTTCCTTTTTTCAAACATTAGTCCTAAATTTGAAGTTCCCTTCAGATATCTAAGTAGCCATTTCATGCCTTCCCAGTGTTGTTCACCATGATTACTCATATATCTACTTAGTACACTTATAACAAAAGCAAGGTCAGTCCTTGTGCAAACCATAATGTACATCACTAAACCTACAGCATTTGCATAAGGGATTTTATCTATTCCATTTCTTTCTATCTTAGTTTTAGGGCACTGTTCAGTAGAGAATTTAAAATGACTGCCAAGTGGTGAGGTAACTTCTTTTACATTATCCATAGCAAATTTACATAGAATTTTGGAAACATATGACTCTTGAGTTAGAAATAGTGTGTTGTCACTTCTATTTCTCCTAATTTCCATTCCTAAGATTCTTTTAGCTGATCCTAAGTCTTTCATTTCAAACTCTTGTTTTAACTTTTGCTTAATATTATTTATTTCAGTTACATCACACCCAGCAAGTAACATATCATCAACATAAAGCAAAAGATAATAAAAATCACGACCTCCACCACCTTTATAATAGAAACAGGGATCATATTCACTCCTATTAAAGTCAAGAC